GCGGCCATGTGTCTTGCAGGGCCAACTCAACCATGACTCGAACACCACTCCCCAAGTTCTGAAGTCGATGAATGAAGTAGTCCAATTCGTTCTTCGGCTGAAGAACTTCAAGTTGATGTCTGGATGGGCGTCTAGCCTCTTTGGTGTTCGTCGGTGCCTGTCGCAATCTTGAGAACTGGACAATATGGAACGTGGCTGAGGAATCTTCCCATCGTCGGCTACAGAACTCTAAGAGCTCTGACTTCAGAATTTGAACAACACTCCCCTAGTTCTGAAGCCGAGGAGGGGGAGTGCCTGGTCTGAAGTGTTGCACGATTGCATAGCTCAACAGAGTGCCGAGGTGTCAAACTGAGCTTCTAGGTCCATCCTCCTGGTGGATCCGAGGAACGGCTCTAATTCCAAGTGGAAGTCGAGATTCTATGCCATGGTGATGCTCGGCCATGGTGTGCTGAGCTTTGGAGTTGGGTTTGAATTTCGGAGTTGAGGCCACTGTGATGCTCGGTCGGAGGCCGAGCTTCGGAATTAAGGTTGTGATGCTCGGCCACGGGGCGCCGAGCTATGGAGATATGGCCCTTGGGGGTGCCGAGCTATGGAACTGAGGCCATTGTGATGCTCGACTATGACTTGCCGAGCTTCGAAGCTAAGGGCACCCAGGTGCTGAGTTGTTGTGATGTTTGAGGGCCTACAGGTGTTGAGCTTGTTGTGATGTTTGGTTGTGGCTTGCCGATCTTTGAAGCTGAGGGCCTCGTAGGTGCCGAGCTTCGGAGTCTATGCCTCTTCGATGCCCTGCCGAGGAAGGTGTTGAGCTTCGAAGTCTGGGTCTCTCCGAGGCTCGATAGCGTAGTGTCGAGGAGGGTGTCGAGCTTCGGAGTCTGCACCTCTCCGAAGCTAGGTAGCACCGCACCGAGGAAGGTGCCGAGCTTCGAAGCTGAGGGCCTCGTAGCTGCCGAGCTTTGGAGTTTGCGCCTCTCCGATGCCCCGCCGAGGAAGGTGTTGAGCTTCGAAGTCTGGTCTCTCTAAGGCTCGATAGCGTAGTGTCGAGGAGGGTGTCGAGCTTCGGAGTCTGCGCCTCTCCGAAGCTAGGTAGCATCGCACCGAGGAAGGTGCTGAGCTTCGAAATCTGGGTCTCTCCGGTGCTCGGTAGTGCAGTGCCGAGGAAGATGATGAGCTTCGTAGTCTGTGCCTCTCTAAGGCTCGGTAGCGCTGCACCAAGGAAGGTGTTGAGCTTCGAAGTCTAGGTCTCTCCGAGGCTCTGTAGCACTACGTCGAGGAAGGTTCTAAGCTTCGGAGTCTACGCCTCTCCGAGGCTCGGTAGCGCTGCGCCGAGGAAGGTGTCAAGCTTTGGAGTCTACGCCTCTTCGGTGCTCCACCGAGGAAGGTGCCGAGTTTCGAAGTCTGGGTCTCTCCGAGGCTAGTTGCGTAGTGCCGAGGAGGGTGCCGAGCTTCGAAGTCTGCGCCTCTCCAGAGCCAAGTAGCGTCACGCCGAGGAAGGTTCTAAGTTTCGAAGTCTGGGTCTCTTCGAGGCTCGGTAGCGCTGCACCAAGGAAGGTGCAGAGCTTCGGAGTCTATGCCTCTCCGAGTCTCGGTAGCGCTGTGCCGAGGAAGGTGCCGAGTTTCGAGATCTGGGTCTCTCCGAGGCTTGGTAGCACAGTACCGAGGAAGGTGCCAAGCTTCGGAGTCTACGCCATTCCGAAGCTAGGTAGCGTCGTGTCGAGGAAGGTTCCGAGCTTTGAAGTCAGGGTCTCTCTGAGAATCGGTAGCGTTGCAACGAGGTAGGTGTTGAGCTTCGAAGTCTGTGCCTCTCCGAGGCTCGATAGCACTACGCCGAGGAAGGTGTCGAGCTTCGAAGTCTGGGTCTCTCTGAGGCTCGGTAGCATAGTGCCGAGGAAGGTGCCGAGCTTTGGAGTCTGCACCTCTCCGATGCTTCGTCGAGGAAGGTTCCGAGCTTTGAAGTCTAGGTTTCTCCGATGCTCGGTAACACTGCACTGAGGAAGGTGTCGAGTTTTGAAGTTTGGGTCTCTCCGACGCTCGGTAGCGCAGTGCCGAGGAAGGTGTCAAGCTTTGGGGTCTGCGCCTCTCCGAGGCTCGGTAACGTTGCATCGAGAAAGGTGTCGAGCTTCGAAGGCTGGGTCTCTCCGATGCTCGGTAGCGTAGTGCCGAGGAAGGTGCCGAGCTTCGGGGTCTGCGCCTCTCTGAGGCTTGGTAGCACTGCGCCGAGAAAGGTGCCGAGCTTCGAAGTCTGGGTCTCTCCGAGGCTCGATAGTGTAGTGCCGAGGAGGGTGCCGAGCTTCGAAGTCTGTGCCTCTTCGATGCCCCATCGAGGAAGGTTTCAAGCTTCGAAGTCTGTCTCTACGAGGCTTGGTAGTGTTGCGTCGAGGAAGGTGTTGAGTCGAGCTCCCCTGATGCTGCACCGAGGATGAACTCTCTATTTTTTGACTGGGGAATTTGTAGCTTAAGTTTTGGAATCCGAACACCACTCCCCTAGTTTTGAAGTCGAAGGGTGGAGTGTTCGGCCGAAGTGTAGTGCGGCTTCCCTTGGTCGACATTGTTGTCGATTGCCCGACCGAGGATTGAATAGCTGCGGGTTGCTCTTAGAATTTTGTCTTCTTTTGTCTTTTTCTTCTTTGATAGCTCGGTATGCCAAGCTTTAACCTGTTGTACTGATGGCTTAACTTAATGAAACTGTTTTGTTTTGAACTTGTGTGCATACATACGAGTTGGTTCTTCGGCCTTACCTTGGCCAAGGTCTAGGGTTGATCAAGATCTTCAGTCTCCGACTAGTGGGGCCGAAGTATATTCCGAGGTCTCATCTTTGGAATGCTTAATTTCTGGTTTCGGGAGCCTTTGGGGCCCTTCGTGGGTCAGCCGTTGTTCAGCTGGCTCTAAGACATTTTGTCACTGAAGTACAGAGAACGATGACCACCCTTTGGCCTCGGAGGCGGGAGCGATCTTTTCCGATTTGGGCTCTGGCCATTGATCAGCCAAGTCAGATGTTCGGCTATACGCTGCCGAGCTAGCTACTAGCTATGCGTTAAGGGCTCAAGCCGTTATAGGTCAACTGAGTCGGTTTTTTTAGTCGGTGATACACTGCCGAGCTTCGTGTCGTGCCCGCTGGTAAGTTAGCCGATTCAGTGCAATGTGTCATGTGTGCGTCGATCAGTCGGCTATGTAGCATGATTGTGTAGTGCAACTATGTAGCGCGACTGTGTATCATGGCGGTGTAGGGCGACTGTGTAGTGCGGCTGTGTGTGGTTGTCGGGCTCACGAGAGCGGGCCGTGGAGGCAAACCACCTTACTGTGTCTTGCTTCTCATGCTTGGACCACGCTCCCCTACTTTCCGGCTATCGCATTTTGGGGTCCTCGAGATGAGGATCATCCTTCGTACGCGTCGGGGTGTGGGG